TTCTATAAATTATATCTTGCATCCATGGTGTATTATTCAGAGATTTACTATTGACTATTGACTTACGGATGAACCTACCCTGGTTTTGTTCTCTAAGAGTCTCATGCATAGATTGAAAATGTCTGAACATCCGGGTTCTTTTGACCTGCCAGATAGGCAGATGGTCACTCCCATCATTAACTGGTATTGTTTAGCCCAAATCTATTTCCTCCTTCTTAAATTCCCATGAGATTCAATCAATAATATGACTCTTACAGGATATGAACAAACTCTCTAATTATACTAAAGGTTACCAAGTACAGAATAAACTTTGACCAGACACAGGAGGAATTATTAGAAAATTCACTGCACTTTGCAAAGAGACCTAGAAAGTGCTAAGAGGTAGGGATAAATAAGCTTGGGATAAATAAGCTTGGAATAAATAAGCTTGTGATAAAAGACACCTAAACTTTTAAATACCTATATAGATAAATGAGTCTCTCACATCTCTCTAAAGAGATCTATGCAAATTAATAAATAAATGAACGTGTACATAATCCTACTACATGTTTATAGTATAGCCAATTTGAGACTCATTAGAATGTTTCATAATACACTGAGTCATTTAATGATCTGATGTTTAGCTTCTGGATATTGTATTTCTTACATATAATTTTAACTCTCAAATAAGTAGAAAATCTGTTAGTATGAAAATATTTAAAAACTGATTATCCAGACCCAGAGAACACTATGAACTGTAGTACTACTCATTAACAAATGAGTAAAAAAAGTCAAGAAAAAAAGAAAGATGAAAGGAGCCCTGTTGTGGACACAGACAAGCATGGGCTCTAGGAAGAGATTCTCCAGGAGGTTGGTCCTGGTTCAGGATAGGAATAGAGGCCTTCACTTTTCAACATCCTTTATACCATTTTAGTCTAAATGAAGACCCAATGGGAGAGAATTACCTGGTTAAGATAGGGACCGAGCTATGTCCAGTGTTTTCTTGTAGTTAAGCCTATTGGGTTCACACATGAAGCCTTTTTAAAAAAAATATTCTCACCTTTATTCTGTTTTTCTTATGATATTATATTTAAAATATTTTCCTTAGAGGAAAAAAAAATAATGCTTATGTTGGGCTGGATTGATCACATTGTAGTAACTGCTGACATTGGTATTCCTTTCAGGGGGAGGATTTCTTTTTTAAAGAGAGTACAAATTAGAATCAAGACAAAAAATTTACAAATGATACAGAATTTCACATAACAAAGTAATATGAATTTCACATTATTTGTTGAAATACAATATTGTCTTCCAACCGGTTATTCATATTGCCAGATATATGCATATAATATTGCATATAACTAGAGAACATACTATTAAGTGACATAAATCAGGCTGGCATGTGCAAACATCAGATTGTCTCATTAGTGAGAACCTGAAAGAGAAAAATGGAATCTAAAGGGTACAATAGATGCTAGTGTTCTTTTTTGTAACACCATTCTCTTGTTTCTTTCTCCCTTAGTCCTTCAATATTTATTCTTGTCTTTTTACATTGCCTGATAACTTTTACTTTAAATAGAGCCTGTGGTTTTGGACAGTTCTGTTCTTAAGTGCACCTGAATATAAAAGGCTTTACCTGTGACACTGAGCAGCTGCATTTCTTTTGCACTTCCAAATGAAGAATAACATGTAATCTTAAACTATATTTTAAAAATCTTTATATTTTCAAGAACATTTTAAAATTCTTGTTCATAATGAATGAGAAATGGATTATGACTCAAAAGGCCCTTCTCTACTTGTTAATGAGTTTGAGAACTTTGGGTACAGATTTGTTGACATTTCCAGACTAACCCCTGGAAATATGGGGAGGGCTCTGTAAAGCATGCAAGCAAGCCGCCTGCCCAGGCATGAGGTCAAGGTGGAATCTGGACACTGGGAGTTTTGAAAGTCTCCCAAGTGACTCTGATGTACAGCCAGGTGAAGGACCATGATGCCAGGCAATAAAACAAAGAGCTGTGTGCTCTTGCTCTGGCTTGCTCAAGCCTGTCCCAGGATGTTGGGACATTTGGCCTAATACTAAAGCCAAGGGGGAAAGAAGAAAAAGGAATTGTGGAATTCTTGGATCCTGTCACTTTTAAATCCTTTTGAGAATATCCAGTCAAGCTCCTAATGACCATCACACTTCCGTAGTGTGCAAAGTCCTCACCTGCAGTTTACCGATGGATGTGCTGAAAGCCAAACCCAGAGCTAGCATTAACAGATACATTTCTTTTAGGATGCAGTTTATGTTAATTAGCCTAAGGGCTCCTTTGCAAAGTGTAAATCAGAAGTCACTCAGTTTTGGTAACTGAATCACTGAAATGCATTTTAATGGTGGTCCTTCTGACACCAGCATCAAGGCAGCCATGGTATTTCCAGCAAGGAAGTACTGCTCAGTCGCTGAAGGTCTTGTGACCCATCCTCCTTCACATGGTCTGCTCTCTGGGTTTTTGGGCCCATCTACTTCTCTTCTGTTCCCAGAGACTCACAGCTGCGGAAAAATCCTCTTACTCTTCATATTAAAGACTTGTGCTTCTAGTATTTCCAAATATGATCAGGCATTCCAGAAGGTCTTGGCTCATGAAAGTGTTATACAAATGTGCATTGTCATTCAGATGATGACATTATCCTTTCCTTTACCTGATCTGTTTCTCCCTTCTCCCTTCTCCCACCTCTTCTTTTTTT